TGAGCAAAATTTAAAGCAATCTTTTCAACTATTAAAAGTCCAAACTAAATTCCGCTCAGGAAAAACTATTTTCTGCTTAGAAAAGAACTATATTATTAGCATCATCACACAAAATTTGAGGTGATGTAAATAAGTGGTGGTATACCATTTTTCTAAGTGGGTACTTTTTCGATTTTTACAATATTCTTCACATATAAATTGTTGATCATCTCTGTGATCAACAAGTAAATATACAAAAATAGATTTTTAATTATGCTGTAAATGGGCGAATTTCCATTTTGATTATGGTGCAGATCATTAATACAACCAGTTCCAACCTCTAAGATGTATTGTCTTGATGATGAATATGACCATCCTCTTGATGTTGCTAACCATTATCAGTACTACAAGCAAGCTTGTGGCTTCTTCAATGCAATTGATGACCCTAATGAAGATGGGTGTTGCAATTAAGATGCTGCAACTCTTGATGTTGCAACATAATCATAATGTTGCAATCTTCACGATGTCCACAATTAACCACAATTGACCACATTTAATTAATTATAGATTAATGAAATCAATTTCACAATTAACTGTAATCAATGTTTCAACTTTTCAAAAGGATTCACAATAAAGTGATGTTGGAGGCCTAGCATTTTTCCAATATTGATACTGTTCACAGTAATTATAAGCTCCTTTATGGTCATCAGGAAAATGGGTACAAATATTATGCGTATATAATACACAATTGCAGGTATTAAGCATATAATATATGTACAATTTGCATACATAAAAAATACGTGATTATATGCTTAATCCCTGCAATTGTGTATTATATACGCATAATATTTGTACCCATTTTCCTGATGGTGACCTCTCCTACAAACATGATCCCATACTTCAGTAAAATAAAATGTCTACCAATACTTTCTGTTGAGTTACTTATATTACCATTATTATCACTATTCATTTTTTACAATTCTTTTTACAATTTTAAAAACTTTCCCTTACACAAAAAAGTATTGTGAATATTTGCAGATATAGAATACAAACCTTTTTATAAGCTACAATTAAAATTTAACCTTGTATTTAAACAAAATTATTGGCAGGGAATGGAAATTCATTTGAATTAAACTCAATGTTAAACATTCTGCTACAAGTTAACTTTATGAACTTTAAAGAGGATCTTCCAAAAATGATTATATCATGATGTTACATTACAGATAGTTTAGTAGAATCTGGTTATCACCTATTTATCATTGAGCTATTTTCTCAAGCACAATTTTCTGATTACAGATTAACATCAAACTGAGAGTGTGGTTTTGGGTGGTTTGACTTAAAAATCGAACCAACAGAAAAGGTAGTTAATTGCTAATTTGTTAAATATTTTTATAAATCTCAACTTCCTTACTAATTAAACTATAGTGTGCAGCTCTTGAAAAGTTATGATCATAATATTATTCATTGTGATCTATGACTTAATAACATTTTGATGTGCATTACAAAATATGGTGAAAATTCACTTTATTGGCTGACTTTGGTTATAGTATTATAGCTAAGGTTGCTTGCTGAAACCTCTTAGTGACTATCAAAACTCTGATGATTGATAAAACTCCCAAATGTGAAATCTGCTGAAACTCTAATAAACAATTAATGTTAACTTGTCAAAACTCTGTCTGTCAATTGATTTCTGGAGGAGTTTCGCCCACAACCTTAATTATGGCAAATGAATTAGTTCCTTTTGTTGGTGCACCACCAATTTTTTTACCACAATCCATACTTGTTTCAGGATAATCTGCATATTTTTTTGTCATCTCTGTACCTGGAACTAACAACTTTCTGGCTCTAATTGATTCCAATATTCAACAACTGATCACCTATTGGAAACTGCACAATCAAATGAACCTTGGAAGCAACTATTCAAAATGTCAGAAGATTTTGATTATGAAGGTGTTGGTACCAATTTAAAGTCATTACTAATTTTCAAAAGATGGTGACAATTTATAAATGCTTAATGTTAAAAAAATCAACTAATCTAAAGTGTGTGACAAAAAACTGACTATTTATGGACTAAATTAGGCAATAAGTAAACATCACCAATTTTAATTCAATTTACTTCATACTTTACCTTGTTAAATTACAAATACTACACCTGTTAAATAATAAAATTATAACATACCTATATTAATTAATCTATATAAATTAATTTATTATAAAAAATATTTCTGAAACAACTGAAAATCAAAGAAATCTTTCTGATATGTACAGCAAAATAATGTAATAATAATTATAAAAAAATTTTTTTTTTACAAATTGGAATTATGATAAGAAAAAAAAAAGAATAATGTGGGAGATTTTCTGTATGATTGATTATCAGTCCATTTATCATGGAGATGACAATTAGGAATTCAAGTCCCAAACATTGTTCCAAATGGACAAAAGAATGAAGAAATTTGTGTTTTAACAATGCTGTCAAAAACCCTTTTAAAGCCATATTTTTAAAGTTTTAATTAATGTATGAAGGTATTTAATATAAAATAATGAAGAAAAAAATTTTATAATTGTGTAGATTCACATTACTATGGTGTGCTGTATCTAAAGACATCAAAAAAAGTGCAAATCTTTAAACCCTAATAACCTTGGAAATATTTAAAAAACTCTATTTTCGCAATCTTTGGAACATAAGCAGCAATGCCATTGAGAGATTTTTAAAATTAATTAGCAAAATAAAAAGTTATGGAGGTTTAAACTTAAGTAACTTTATTACTAATTAAAGAATTCGGCACACCTATTAACTAATTTGACCAATCAGAAACTAATATAGATCAACTTTTATCACGTGATGAATTTAACAATTTTTTCTTTATATCTACATTCATTAACATAAATTCTGGCAATTTTCTATGAGATTTATATTTTTTTTTGCTGCAAATATTACGGCCTTTTCTGAAAGTCCTAATAAGTCCTAATCTATAATCTATAACATCTTCTAGCAAACTTACCAATTTTACAAAGTGAAACCGAGTTCAATGCAGTGTTGAAATTTCATTGTGTAACTAGTACAAATTTAGAAACTATCTCAAAAAATTAAAAATTTGATTGGTAATATTTACACCCGGACATTCCGGACATTGAATTTTCAACACTGGTTCAATGCCAGAGGAACAGTTCTCTCTAAATAAATAATTACGATTTTTTCTAGTGTATTCTTTAGTTCCCAAAAACTTTCTATATAATTTAATTCACAATGATACTTCGGATAAAAGTTAAATATTTTATCTAGATGATTTCTTGACCAGCATTAAAAATTTTCGGAAAATGGCGCAGCATTTGATGTCTTTAGATGCGGCGCACCATATATGTAATTACACTTCCTGTGACATATCGTTTGACTGTGAATATTCATTAAGGGGTTACATTTATCAAAATCAAGTGATTGACACATAATTTTAAGGGATTTTTGGATGATTTGATAAATGTAACTCTCTTAATAATATTCATGAATATGATGATTGTGATCATTAACCCAAATTTTATCATGCAACCAGTTTTTAGGAATATAAAGTTTGTTGAATTAAATCCAAAAACGATTCCAAAATTGGAAATTCCATGCTTTGAATATGTTTCCATAAAATTATCATTATTAAAAAAAGATGACACATTTAATGTTTACTTGATGGTTTTGCCTTCTGTTGAAGTAAAAGATGATGAAATTGGATTACCTAATTGGATAAGTAAATTTTTAGATTTATATGATCCAAAAATAAATCATAATAATGTTAAAAAAGAAAATTGTTTGAAATTTGATCATATTAAGTTTAATGGTAAAAATATATATCTATTAATAATAAATAGTAATATTAATAACATTAAGATAAATATTGATGATAATAAAATTTTTAATTTTTAGATTTTATGATTCCTGATAAAATAATTATAACTAAATTGATTGGTAAAGTTTGGTTACCTAAATTTCTGAAACAAGAAGATTCATCAAGAACAAATAATTTATTATTGGATTATGAAGAAATAATTAAAAGAAACCTTGATGGAACTTTGGTTTGTAAATTTGAAAATAATTTCTTTTTGTAATGATTGATATTTAAAATTAATACTCCAGTTCTAATTGATTAGCAATCATACTAATCTACTTGTAGGTATCAAATAATTCATTATTTAATATAAAAATTATGAATAATGAATGTATATTTATCATAAAATCAATAATTATCAATGATGACAACAATAATAAGATTGTTGATAATAAAATTTATAAAGTAAATAAAAATATCACAAAAATAGAAATAAGATTAAACAACAATAATATTAATGGTAATAATCAGATTAATTGTTGGATTAATACTATTCCAGGATATTCAAAGGAATTCAATGAATTATATAAATTTATAGGTAATTAATTGATTATTGTTTTTAATTAATTATTATTTGTAAATAAATTAATTAACTACTACTTTATTATTTTAGATTATTCATTTAATAATAATGAAATCTATAATAAATTAAACATTCCTAAAATTAAAGCAATTTTAATCAATGGACCAAAAGGAGTTGGGAAGAAAACCTTAGTCAAGTACTACTACTACATTACTACACAAATTTTTTTTTGTTTAAATATAATATATTTAATAATTAATTAATTTATTATTATTGTTATTTATTACTTAGATTTATTTCTAATAAGTTATTGATAAATATTTTTGATATTTCATTATCATCAATAATAATAAAAAATAAAAATAAAATCAGCAACAGCAGTAATAATAATTTATTAAAATTAAATTTCACCAGAGCAATTTTATCATCACCATCAATAATATTAATAAAAGATTTAGATTTATTAAGTAATAAAGTTAATGATGAGGATGAAAGTTCAAGTGACATCGATGGTGGATGGAAATCAAGAATTATTAATTCATTAATAAAGGAAATTCAAAATATTAATGAAACTGATAAAGTAAATATATTTATTATTCATTTCATATATATATCATATATCACATATATTTAATTCTGATGTAATCCGTTATTATTGTTATTTATAAAGGTGATTGTTATTGGTATTTCAAATGATAGTCTTAAATTACCAAATTCCATAACAAACAATTTTGAAATTTTTCAACATCAAATTAATTTATCATTTCCAGCAAGGTAAATAAATAAAAACTTCATATTGATTTTGTTAAACTTTATTTAAAAAAAAATTATTTTCTGCAATTAGAATTCAAAGAGAAGAAATATTAGAATTTCATATTAACAACTTATTTAATAATAACAATTTATCAAATGAAACTATTTATGAATTTGTTAATAAATTAGGAATGGTAAATAATACTATATTACATATAATGTTAACAATAATAATCACAATAACATTTTGATTTTTAATTAAATAAATAATAGATGACAAATGGATATGTTTCAGAAGATATTTATAATTTATGTAGATTAACTTTAATGCATTCATTAAATAATCAGACTAATAATGATGGTGAGAATGAGGATGTAAATAATATTATCAATAATATGTCAAAAATTAACATTAATGCTGGTGGTAATAATAAGTAAGTAAATTTGTTAGTAATAATAATTACTGTAAAAATTTTTCTGATTATTATCTAATTGATCTAATAGAAATTTCAAGATTGATTGGGAAGATTTTAATTATGGATTATCAATGATGAAGCCTTTGGGAAAATTTGGTACTGATAAAATTCCAATTAATCTAAATTTGAATGATGATATTGGAGGGTAAATAATTATAATATATTAATGAAAATAAATACTAATAATATATCAATTTACATGTAATTTACTAATTAAAAAATTATTTTAGTTATGAAGCTATCAAGAAAAAATTGATTAAAATAATTGAATTTTCTTTGATAAATAATGGCAAAAATGATGGTAACTACAATTTATTAGGCGTGAGGCCATTAACTGGTTTATTACTTTATGGTCCATCAGGTAAATAGATGTATATAAGAAATAATTTAATAATTAGTTATTCATTATCATGGTAAATGTTATAATATATCCAATTCAATTATTTAAAGGATGTGGAAAAACTATTTTAATTCAAACAATTGCAAAAGAATTAAATATTAATCTTATTTATATAAAAAGGTATTGATTTATTAACACCTCCTCATTCATTATTTTTACTGACATGAATAAAATAAATTGATTGAAAATTTTTTTTTTTTTTTTATTTATATAAAGTCCAGAAATCTATTCAAAATATTTAGGCGAAACTGAAAAATTTTTAAGAAATTTATTTAAAAAATCAAAACAAATTTCTTGCATAATATTTTTTGATGAAATCGATTCAATTGGAACTAAAAGAGGTGATGAATCAATATAAATGAAATAGGAGTGGCAATGAAAGATATATGATTATTAATTAATTATAATTATTCCCTAAAAACAAAAAAAAATGTTTAGATTGGGAATCAAATGAAAGTTCAGTTGGAATAAATGAGAGAGTATTATCAACTTTATTAAATGAAATTGATGGCATACAAGAATTAAAAAATGTTTTGATAATTGGTTGTACAAATAACCCAGAACAATTAGATGATGCTTTAATTAGACCAGGTAATAATAATCGTCAACCTGTCATAACAAAATTTATATTCATTAATTCATTAATTTGTTACTTGGTTAATTAATCAATTAGGAAGATTTGATCAGTTAATATATATTAGTTTGCCATCAAAAGATGATAGATTGAATATATTGAAAGTTTTGTCTAGAAAATTTTCATTAGGTGAAGATGTTGATCTAAAAAAATTGGCTGAATTAACTGAAAGATTTAGTGGTGCAGATTTGGAAAAATTATTTAGGTAGGCAATCTGATGTGATATCATTGAATTTTAAATATTCATCATTACCATTATCATTATATTAATATTATTAACATTGTTCTATTGCTGATATTATTATGGTTATCAGAGAATCAGGATTTAAAGCACTAAGAGAAGATTTATCAATTGATAAAATTTATTCAAGGCATATTAAACAAGTAATTGATAAAGTAAAAATAAATGTATTAAATAGAAATAATGCAACAATGATTGAAAATAAATATGAAAATTTCAAAAAACTTGATTAAAAAATAATTTTATTTGAAATTTTCTTTCTTTACATTTAAATAAATATAAATTTACACTTAACAAATATTATTATTGTTAAACATCTAAACTATTTTCAAAAACTTCATTCTCACCACCTTCCATAATTTTTGTGATAGGGGTAAAAGGTGGACGATTGTATTTTGAAATGTAATCCTACATCATCATATTATTTATTAATAAATAGTCACTAATGCAATAAATTTAGAGATCATTAATTGAATACCCTTCCTACCTGTGCATGTTGTAATCCATATCTTTTCTCTTTAATAGTAGAATTTAATCCAATCCATACAAATACTGTTTTTATTACAAAAATTAATTATATATATGATTCAACAAGAAAATCCACAGTCTCAAAATCAAAAAAAAATTTAATTACCATCATGTCCTGCATCAAAAACAAAAACATCATTTGTATCAAAATGTGATTTTGTCACTTTTCCACTAGCTTCTTGAGCAAAAGTTACTTCACCAGAAGCATCACTCACTCTATATAAAAATAAAAATAATTATATCATACTTAATTTATAAAAATATTTCATAAAGTAGGAAAAAATTATACCTGAAAAGTTTCTTTTCAAATTTTTCAATATCTGCCCCAGTATCTGCTTCAGCAGGTTTGATCTCTCCTTTACTTCCAAGTGCATCCCAAAATTTATGCATTTCTCTATCACCTTCATCTAAATTGTAATTTATTTTATAAAAAACACATACAAATCAAATGAATACAACCAAACATGTATATATGTATATGTATGTATATAAGCAATAAAATAATATATATATCTATTTTTTACTAACCAATAACCAATATTTTTGGTAAACCTTTTCTTTCTCCTTCCAAAGCTCTAACAAATTCTGCTGCTTTGACTTTTTCGACACCATGTGACTTTTTACCATTAAGTTGATAGATTGCTAAACCATTATCCATAATAAATACATCACCAGAATTCAATGATGAAGGATCTTTTGGTACTTCTCGAATAATAACAGTGTTTTTAATTTTTTTAATTTTTAGTAAACGTGATCGATACTCTTCAGGTTTAACTGAATTAAAACCACTCTCAGTACCACCATCTTCAACATGGAAATGACGAAAGTAAGAGATAAATAAATCAGATTCACTTCCTTGAACCTTTAATACAAATTTTTTAATATACAAGGGAATACATATATATAATTAAGTAAATGGAATGACAAATTTACCTCACGATGTTGAACAGGTGAAGTTCCAAGAACTATAATGGTAGTAAAAATACATAATTAAATAACCAATCAGTAATAAACAACTGTGTAATTAAAATAAATCTTACAGTCATCCAATTCAACAGTTTTATAAGCAGCAGTTCCAACTTCATCCTTACAAAAAAAATTTTAGAATATTATTTAAATGTTTATATGATTTTTTGATCTTTAATTTCTTCTTAATAATAATTAATACCTGGGAACTATCCAAGCCAAGCCAAAAATGAATATCATGTGCTAAGGCTTCTGTATCTTTGTTTTTCTTATAAGACTAGAATACAAATTATTAATATGTAAAATTATGATTTATTTTTATTACAATCAAAAATTATAATCATAATTGTAATTGTGTATTTACATGAAGTACAATATAACTATCACCAGAATAAAATTGTCCGTATCTTTCTTTAGGCCAAGGTACTACCTGAAATTTTTCAATACGCCATATCCAAAGTCCACTAAATTTTAAAAAAACAAATTTGAAAATTTTGTGTATATTTTTTGAAGTTAAAAATATTATATACTAACGCTACTTTTCCAATATTAAATTCTTTATTTGACCATGCTGCTTCTTTGGCTCCAGCTTTGTAATGAGCATCTTTTTCATATTTAGAACCAAAATTCGCAATGTTTGTACTAGAAATATCTTTATATACATATATATGTATGTTATGTATATATGTGCATGCATGTTAATATTAATTATGATAAGACAAAAGCTTTTTAAAAGCAAAAGAAAGTTAAGTAAATTAATTACCCCACTTTGGTTGTTTTATCATTTCAAAATTGTTTTAATTCAAAGGGATACAAAAAATAACAAGTTTACCTTTTCAATAGCCAATAAAGCAGGGTTGGCAAATGTGCGGTCCATTGATGGTCTATTGGTGGTCCATTGGGTCCATCAGTGTAACACTTTAACCATA